CTAGTATATATAACACATTATTGTCAAGATGTAAAATTGAAATTAACTAGAAAAGATGTAATACTGAAAAATAGAGTGAATAAAAAGGAACAAAATATTGTAATTACATTTTTATTATTTATTAAACTTCTCATAAATAAATGTCATTTAGTCAACTATAACATTTTCAGAAAACTTATCTAATATCACATTTAAAACATATAGTTACCATTTTCGCCATTTATATTCTCTTTATCAGCTTCATTACTTGAATTGTGATTTGTAGTTTCTATGGTTAAAGAACGTTTTTTTCTGCAAAATTTGATTGTGTAGACTTCTTCGTTAGGTGCAAACTCATTTAACGATTCATACTCTTCGATGAATTGCAGCTCATCACTTTGGATGTCTTCAAGCGGGCTTAGCTCTCAAAGCTGGCTTAGCTTTTATGCTCCTGTTTGTTTGAAATACATACACTGAAAGAGAGAAATTTTTTAAATGAAAGTTTATATATTCCAAATTAATAAATTAATAAATTGTTGCAATTTACAATTATTACCCTAATAACACATGATATCATTTGAATATTCTACATTCGTACTAAAAGTACTGTGGTCATACGTACTATTGCCTAATATACTAGAGAATATTTATGACATCTTGATAATATATCATTTCTCATATATTCTTAAGCTCTTCTTCAGAATCAAATATACCCAACAGCACATAATATCATACAAATATTTATACTGAATGTACTGTAATCATATCGAATATACTAAGATTATTCGTATAAAATTTATGTATCCCAAGTAGCAAGACGTCATTATGACGATGATTTAAGATCTGTTGTAGCCCGGATTAGGTTACAAGATTGCAATTAGGGAAAGTCCGATTTGCCTTAGGAGTTAGAACTTCGAGCAGGATCGTAGGTGGAAGGTTCTTCTGGTCAAATATTATTACTCACTTTTGTTAAGTAGCTGATTTATTGGTACGATTTCTTGATAATGTTTCGTGTGAATTTCGTTATTACTGATAACGACCGTGATGAAGTACAATTGTCTTGTTACGTATTGTGATTGCCCACTCTCGGTGATTTAGTGACCGTTTTTATAATATTCTAGTCGTCTTATAATTCTAAATCAGACCATATCAAAACGACGCGCTCTCGCAAATTTCTCGTTCGCGCTTTGCTTTGGAATTTGCGGACTTGCTTGTGCATGCTTGCATTTCCGGCCGGCGTTTCCGTAGCACCGGCTATTCGAGAATGATCGTGAGAATAAGATATAATATAACAAAAATAATATAAAGAGTAATTCAACGCCCCTCCTTCGCCGGGAAAGAAAAACGGAGTTTTTCGCATTACAAAATCCTTCAACCCGATACATTTATAAAATTTTTTAAAATCATAAACTTTCGTCGTTTTTTCTGCGCAATTCGCTATTTTTATTTACATTTTTTGTTTTTTTTCCTTATAATTACACTTATTATTCCTATTATAATTATAATTATTAATATTCCGTTGAAACCAACGGGATAGGTAAAATGTACATTTTGGAACACATTCGGCTCCTCATCTAGTTGCTTATTTAATTCATCTATTTTTGTACTTAATCTTGTTAATTCTAACGGGTCTTTTATTATCGGTCTTTTATTATCGGTCGCAAGTTTTATTTTTTCTGTGAGCTGTTTTGCACTTTTGATGTCTTTTGATATTAACGTTAAATTGTATTCCAATAAATGTGCTCCTACATAACGAATCGCTATCTGTCGTCGCGTGACTATCGTTATTTCCAACGTCGTTAGTTTACAATAGCCGTTTAATTTTACTTTACCTATATCATTTATCTCTAATTTTTTTACTTCCGACTTATCACATTAAATTTCTATTTTTTGGTTTACTTGTGCGGAATATAGCCACGCTTGTGTTTCCATTAGCATTAGCCATAATGAGATATCGGAAATTATACGTCTTTGTTCACAATTCTGGAGCTATTCGGGCGCGTTTATATAAATTTGCATTTCGTATGACGTAACTTCGTAAATTTGCGTTCGTACCTATGTGATAGACGGGAAAATTTTGTTCGCAAATGTAAGTTTGATCGTTTTGTACGCACGTGTTTAGTTCACGCTCTTCTAATAATATATAATGATGGTTTTCTTTATCTATTGCTATTAAGGCGTGATTTACCTGTATAAATGAAAAGATGTTCGCACATTCGCATACCGAGAACGGTATCAGTTTTATTAATTTGAATGTCAGAAAAGCGATTACTGGAAATCGGAAGATCGTGTAGATATCTGTTTTTATCGTAGTACGCATTTATAGTCATATACTTCTGAATAGTGCCAATTTTCTATACTAATTTTAAATGGAAAGTGTTGTTCTTCTGTGTCGCGGCTTCTCGCAATTCTCTTATGATATTCTCGAGTGGTAATAGGCGAGTTTGCACTATTCTGTTTTTTGCTAATGATAAATAGTCAATAGTGTTCTCGACTTTGATCAGGTTCGTCATTATTGTCTTTAGTATTAGTAAATTTTCATCCATATCCTCTCGCTGCGTATATTTTGCTAATTGCAATTCCATTCGTGCTGTTACATTATTTAGCCGATTTTCATTATAACTTATGGTTTTTTTCTAATCCATCTATGTGGCCTATTGTAGCGTTGATAATTTTTATCTGATTTCTTGCAGCATGTTCTAAGATTTGTTGATTGCTTCGCAATAACTTGCATTTGCTCGTCTATGTGTAGTGCGTCATCGGCATCCATCGTACCAAATGTTTTGTCGTACTAATCGCATTTAATAATCCTCTTTTACTGTGAGAGGCTTTATATACGCTTTGTAAATGTGCTAATAGTATCGTTAGTTTCTCGTTGTCCTTATGCAGTATTTGCAGGATATTTTGGCAAGTAAATCTGATTGGTCCAATAATATTTTTACACCGCTGGTCTGTCTGTTCTAAGTAATCTTGTAATCATTGATATGCTCGTATTCCTAGAGCGGTGATATTTAATTTGATAATTAACTTGCATGTAGTTTGTATCTAATTCATAAATCCGATTTCGAAATATATCCCTGGATGATGGAAAAAACTTTTTATTTTAAATGGCGTTTCTTCCTGGATTTCTTCAATGTCGATGGCCCATAAAATTATTCTGTAATTATAATAAGTTTTCTTAAAAATTTTTGCTGTCGTAGCGTCGGGACTGACACGTATATTCTTTTATGAGATATGATTACTCTTATTTCTTCACTATATCTCTTCTTAGACTCTGGTGTC